GGACAAAATTAGGAAGGCCGAGGCACAAAATGAGATTAAACTAGCTACAGGCATGGAGGGTGAGAAGAAAACATTCTATAAATATATTAGAGGCAAGAAGATGACAAGGGACGGGGTAGGCCCATTACTAGAGCCCTACCAAATTCACGGTCCATTTTGGTCAATTTCATGGTTGTAGCATTTTTAAAATTGTACATTTTCATGATTTCAGGTATTTAAACCTGAAATGTCACAGTATTGTAATTGGAAGGTTCCTGACCCAAGAAGGAGTTGGGGGAGGCAGGTTTGCAATATTATTGTAGGAGGACTGCTGTGTTGCCACAGGTAAAGGGAGCCTGCAGGGGTGGGCAACCCAGAGGAATAGGGAGAAGGTATGGAGCGGGCACCCCAGTTAGCAATTAAAATTTGGATGGGGGGGGACACACACATACAAAATGGGAAATGGATGCCTAGGAAGGAGAACTGCAGAAAAGGATCTAGGGGCCATACTGGATCATAAGATAGATAAGAGTCAGCACTGTGGCTAAAAGAGCAAACATCATTCCGGGATGTATTAGCAGAAGTGTTGTGTCGCAAGCAAGACATGAGAAGCAATCCTTTCTCTCTCCTCCACGCTGACTACGCTTCAACTGGAGTATTTTGTCCAGTTCTGGGTGCTACATTTCAGGAAATATGTGGACAACTTGACGAAAGTCCACAGGAGAGCAAAAAATAAATACACGGAAGACCTAGAAAACGTGACCTATGAGGAAGATTGAAAAAAACGGGTTGTGTAGTGTGGAAAAGAGAAGAGTGGGAGGAAAGGAAGCAATGGGCTTAAATTGTAGCAAGGGCAATTGGACAGAAGGAAAAACTTCCTACCTGGCAGGGTGGTTAAACGCTGCAATACATTGCTGAGGGAGGTTGTGGAATCGCCATCGCTGGAGATATTTAAAAGCAGGTTAGACAAGCACCTCTTACAGATTGTCTCGATCAGACAAACTGTGGGGCAGGACCCCCCCGTGGGTCACAACCCCATCTTAACGGGGTCGCCAGGGCTGGCTTAGAGTTGCCGGGGCCTGGTGCCAAAGCAGAAGCCTGAGCAAAATCACTCAGGGCTTCAGCCCTAGGCAACAAGGCTAAAACAGGTCCCCTGCCTGGGGCTGTGGGGCTCCAAATTCGGTCTCCCCTCCTGGGGTCATGTAGGAACTTTTGTGGTCAGAAAGGGGTCACCATGCAACCATGCTGGGGGACCCTGCTCTAGAGAATCCTTAGTCCTGCCGTGCTGCCGCTTCCACTCCTATGACTTTATGTAGCTAGGGTTGCCAGGCATCCAGTTTTCAAAGGGGAACGTGACAGGGCCTTAAAAGTCTGCCTGGCATCACAGTGGCGACTCAGAGCTAAAGCAGATTCCCTACATGGGGATCACAGGGACCTGGCAGCCACCTCCTGGGAGCCGCAGTGAAAGCACTGCCAGGACCTACTCCCAATTCTCCCCCACCCAGGATCCCCCTCCACACCCTAACTCCATTCCAGAACCCTCCACCCTCCACCAAGGTCCTGTCCCAGCTCAGCGCCCCTCCTGCATCCCAAATCCCTTATCCCTGGCCTCACCCCAGAGCCTGCAGCCGCAGCAGTACATCCTGGAGAAGAAACTCAGGTGGGGCCCTCAGGTCGGGTGGGCAGACAATGACAACGGGGGGGGCATTGGGGACATCTCCTCCCAGCCACTCCAGACAGCCTTTCAGTGGATGATGGATGCTCTGGCCAGGCCCTCCAGGGCCCCAGGCAGCATCCCGGGGAGATGGCTCTCCAGCAACAACGGTGCCCATCTTACAGCCCCCACTCCCTGGCTGGACAGGGCAAGCCCCCACACCCCAATCCCATTCCCTCACAGGAGCGCCCGGCAGACAGGCAAGCGCCGGGGTCGGAAAAGAGCCAGGCCTGGGAGCGGTGGGCCTGGATGCTAAGTGGGTGCTACGCCCCTGCCTCACCTGCCTCCTGCCCCCCAGCTGGGAGGGAAAAGTGAGCAACAGAGGGAGGGGTGGAGCAAGCGGGACAAGAGTGCTCAGTTTGGTGGGATTAAGAAGTTGGCAACCATACACGCAGCCTG